TTTATTTACTTTATTTTATGTACACTGGTGTGAAGGTGTCAGATCCCCTGGAACTGGATGATCCCCTGGAACTGGATCTTCAGACAGTTGTGAGCTGCCATGTGGGTGCTGGGAACCGAACCCAGGTCCTCTGGAAGAACAGTCAGTGCTCTTAACTACTGAGCCATCTCTCCAGCCCCTTCTTTTTTTTTTAATATTTATTTATTCATTATGTATACAATATTCTGTCTGTGTGTATACCTGCAGGCCAGAAGAGGGCACCAGATCTCATTACAGATGGTTGTGATCCACCATGTGGTTGCTGGGAATTGAACTCAGGACCTTTGGAAGAGCAGGCAGTGCTCTTAACCTCTGAGCCATCTCTCCAGCCCCCTCTACGTTTTTTCCTTTTGAGATAAGGCCCTGGGCTCACTGATCTGGGGAGAAGGACTGGTCAGCAGACTTGTGGGATCTGCCTCTGTTCCCCCAGTTCTTATGTGGAGGCTGAAAACCCACACCCAGGTCCCCATGCTTAGACAGTAAGCACCGAGTCCACTATTGACAATGTCTTATTGTCGAAGGTCACGAATAGAGAGGAATGCAGGGTCTGCTGGTAAGGCCAGGGGTATATTATATGTGAGGCGCTGCGCTGGGCTCCAATCTGATCACTAAGGTTCATCTGTAGCCTGTGGTGCTACTGGGAGTCAGGAGAATTCTTCAGGAGACAATGTGGAAAGTGAGATTTTTTTTTTTTAAAATGAAACTGGAACTCATGAGAAAATGGCTTACCTGGCAAGTGAGGCACAGTTTACTTACTGGGGTGCTTTATCCTTTTATCCATTATTACTGAACCCCTACCCCTACCTCAGGAGACTTTTGCCAAACAAGTACCTTTGCTCAATGCCAACGCTGACTCTCTCTGGGGCATTATATACCAATATTTACTTTGGTGTTTTGGTGGTGAAGCGTGAACTCAGGGCTTCTCATATGCTATACACACATTATACTACTGCGACACACCCTGACTCCAACACATCCGCATTTGGAACTGACTGACAGTGTTACTTTTAGTTTTGCATTTTAAACAACACCTAATTTTCTTACTGCTAGGGCTGGGATCTTGAGTGATCTTAAAGACCCACATATTAAAGGTCTAGTCAGCAGCCTGTGGTGTTAGTGGGCGCTAAGGTCATCAGGAGGTGAAGACAAGGAGAAACTTAGGTCACTGGAGGCTTATCTTAAAGGGGGGAACAGGGACTCCGGGTCTGCTTTCTGCTGTCAAAATATGAACAAATCTTCTACTTATTACCTTAAAGTCTGCTCAACCACGTGTTCTTGCCAATATACACAGTGCCCACACAGGTTAAAAGAAACAGGGCCAAATGTGTATTGGCTAAAATCTATGACTCATAAGCCAAAATAAGCCTTCCCCTTATTAAACTGATTATCTAAGTAAGGTCTTTTGTCATAGCAAGAGGATGCTGATCAAGTTATAAAAATCATAGCTGCATTTACCTAGTGTTATGGTTACGACAGCCATGGTTTGAACTCTTGCTGCCCAAGGGCAGCCCTAGGGCCGGGTCTTTGAAGAGTCTACCCACCCCTGGTTCTGATGCTACTCTGCCTACTTCCTGGTTCTCTGCCAAGTGCACAGCTGCTGCCTCACAGGCCTGCCGCCATGTGTTCTCCAACAAGGAGGACTGAAATTCCTCTGAAATTGTGAGCCATAAACAAACACACACACACCAAACTCCTTCTTTCCCTCTGTCGAGTCAATCAACTGAGCTTCACACCTCGCTAGGAGATCATGCTGCGCCCCAACATCGAACAACTTTTACATTCCCTTATCCTTTTTCAAACTTCCTATTTTCATCTATCTTTCATCATAACTCTTTCCAAAAGCAAGAATTTGAAATCTTATAGAGAAAATATTTTTGGAAAGCTAATCAGTCAATATCACTTAATAATGCATGGCTTGCAGAGTTCTAAAAATCAGTAATTAGTGTTCACAACTAAATACAAATGATAAAATCAGGAACTAAAAGAAACCAATTTGAAGGTGTCAGGAACAAACTAATGGATTTCTGAGAAAAGCTACCCATTATCTTAACAACTTATATTTTCAAAAACAGTAAAACTTGGGAACCTTCCAACGTAGGGCTTCTGAACTGCGCCGCTACTGAAGTTTGCATAATTTTTGTTGCAGGGAATCTGGCATCTACCAGATGCCAGCAGCACCCCTCCTCCTCCAATTATAATTTCACCAACCAACGGCAGCACATAAAACTCTCCCCACCCGCCTGCTGAGAACCACTACTATAACAAAATAAAAGCGGTTCTGGGCCTAGAGAGATAGCTCAGTCGTTAAGGGCCTTGTTGCCTGTGTTGGTTTGAATGAGAATGGCCCCATAAGCTCATCTGTTTAAACACTTGGTCCTCACGTGGAGGAAAGAAATAGCTGGGAAGGACTAGGAGGTGTGGCCTTATTGGAGGAGGTGTGTCTTTGGTGACAGGCTCTAAGGTTTCAAAACCCCCTGCCATTTCCAGCAACCACATGGTGGCTCATACCACGTATAATGAGATCTGATGCCCTCGAGGAAGAGACCTGGTCAGTTGTCTCCATCAACTTAGACCATGAACCCCAACATGGGCGAGTTCAACAGCACCACCACACACAGGCTGCCCATGCAAGCTTCAGCACTGTCAGGACACAAACGCATTTCCATTCATTCTCTGCTTCTACTTGTGGTTTGGGATGTGAGCTCTCGGCTGCTCCTGCTGCCGTGCCTTTGCTCCACTATCATAGACTCTAGCTCTCTGGCTTTAAGCCCAATTAAACAGTTTTTTTTTCTTCTTTAGTTGCTAGTCATGGGTTTTGGCACAGCAACAGAAAAGTAGCCAATACACTGTTCTAGAAGGTCAGTTCCCGAAATGCATATTGTTTAGCTTAAAAGCTTCCGGTAACTCCAGCTCCAAGGAATCCAATACCCTCTTCTGGTCTCTGCTGGTACCCACACACATGTAGCACACATTCACTAGGACAAACACATAGTCTGTGACTCCAGTTCCAGGGTATCTTACACCCTCTTCTGGTCTCTGCTGGCACCCACACACATGTAGCACACATTCACATAGACAAACACATAGTCTGTGACTCCAGTTCTAGGGTGTCTTACACCCTCTTCTGGTCTCTGCTGGCACCCACACACATGTAGCACACATTCACATAGACAAACACATAGTCTGTGACTCCAGTTCTAGGGTACCTTACACCCGCTTCTGGTCTCTGCTGGTACCCACATACATGTAACATACATTCTGTTGCGGGAGGACTGTGATACCAGCCCATTGGGGCGTGGTCTCTCTCCCTTTAAAAAAGCGGCTATTTCCTCTGCTCGCGCTCTTCACTTCCTGCTCCGCCGGAGACTAGACTCCCTTCCTGGTTGTGCAGATGGCTGTTGTCTGGGACGGTGATCTATAAGTTTTCCCCTTTAAATAAATAACACCCTATTAATCATAACTCCAAACTGGTGTGGCCTTGTTCGTGACTTACGCCTTCAACATTCACATAGACAAACACATAGTCTGTGACTCCAGTTCTAGGGTACCTTACACCCGCTTCTGGTCTCTGCTGGTATCAGTCACACACACAGCACACAGATATAAATGCAGGCAATAACCTCCACCTGCATATTCATCTTTAAAATAAATGAATAAAACAATTCTATCTTAACTTTCTGGATAGACAAAATTACAGGTTCATATCTCTGAAGTACGTTTAGAAGGAGAAGGAGTAAGAAGTTAAAACAAAAAAGTAAAAACATTCATATTAACTGAAGAATTCTAAGGGCAAATACAGAGAAAATAAAAGGCAGATATACACACGAAACCAATACCCATTAAAACAATACAAGTGGTCAAATTACTTTAGGGTGATTAATTTTGTTTAACATAATATTACCCAATGTAAGTCAATGGATTAACTTTTACATCATCATTAAAGGTTGCTTTTCAAACTGGTAAGGCGGCACACCCCTAACGTGTCAGTATCTGGAAGGCTACAGGAGTTCAGGGCTAACCTGAACAACCTGCAAGATGTCATCTCAGAACGAACAAACATACCCCTTAAAATACACTTTGCTATCAGAGGAAGCACTGGGTTAAGTTCTATCATACATACCTCCAAATCTTGTATTCACCATAACATACAAGTGTTCTCGAGGGTAAGCATTCGGGTCCCTGGAGACCGCATGTAAACTAATGGTGGGGTATTCCAGTGAGAATCCTAGTCCAGAACCATCTAACCAAGACAGGCGGCTGAAAAACAGGGTTTAGGCAGATTAGTTTTAAAAACTGAATCCTAACTTAATATCCCTAAACTTATAAAGGTTCAACCTACATACTTTTATGCATAGAAAGCAATACAAGTTTGTTGACAATATTAGAAATATTCCTTAAAATAAAACTAAACAATAAGAAGAGAGAAAGAAAAATTAGTTACGAGAACTAAATTTTCTTTCACGTTTTCTTTTCCTCTAGCTATAAATTCAAAAAGATTTGAGAGGTGATTTTTTCAAGTCATCTCTGTTTATTTTTCCTCTATGTGTACATGCATGTGGATACTGGTGGAGGCCGGGAGAGCGTCAGGACCCCTGAAGCTGGAGTGGGGGCGGGGAGGCTGTGAACCCTCCAGGTGGGTGTTGGTAATCCAGCTCAGGTCCCTGAGAGAGCAGCGTGTGCTCCTAACAGCTCTCGGCCCTTACCCGAGTCTCTTTTGTGCTATTCTTGCTTAGAATGTCTCCAGCTACCCTCTTTGCTGTGCAGATCTCTCTACCTAGTCAAGCCCCAAATAGATCCACGAGACCTCCTTTCTACAAGGACCTCGCCTGTTCCTACTCATCTTGTGCTTGGGAACGCAGAAGCACTAGTATGCTAACGAATCATGTTTGTAGTCTGTTATTTCCATCGCTTTATTTAACATGCTTCAAAACTGTTAACACAGCCCTCCATAGGCGGGCATGCACAGGAACTGGGGATGGATGATGGACACACAAAACAGACATGATTACAATCACAACTTAATTACTACCTTAGTAGACAAGGTAAAAGTTCCCATGTATTACCAGCTTAATGAAAAAGCTAGGGGGCTGGAGACACCGCTCAGTGGGTGAAGAGCACTTCCAGAAGACCCAGGTTCGATTCCGAGCTCACAATGATCTGTAATCCAGCTGCAGACCTGACACTCTCCTGGCCTCTGTGTGCACCAGGGATACAAGTGACACACAGACAAACATGCAGGCAAGATACCATGAAAATAGGCCGGGCGGTGGTGGCGCACGCCTTTAGTCCCAGCACTTGGGAGGCAGAGGCAGACGGATCTCTGTGAGTTCGAGACCAGCCTGGTCTACAGAGCTAGTTCCAGGACAGGCTCCAAAGCCACAGAGAAACCCTGT